GACCGAGATGGAAGAGAGCTGGATGTGCTCCTGATCGTGGTCAGGGCGCCGGGATAGGGCATCTGTGACCCGATTAGTCTCACCCTTGATGTGCTCAGTGGTGAAACTAAACTCGGATAGGTCGCGCCACCAGCGAGCCTGTCGAGGAGTGAGCTTCGGTTTTGTCAGAAAAGCCTGGACAACAGAGTTGACCGTACGCACCGTGAACGGTACCCCGTGCAGGTAGTGACGCCAGTGCCGAGCGGCATAAACTACTGCAAGAACCTCACGTTCATCGGCAGTGTAGTTTATCTCGGCGGGCAGGAGCTGATGGGAGTAGAAGGCTATCGGACAATCACCTGAGCGAGACTCGACAGTGCCGTCCTCGGCGATGGTAGGRGAATAGTCAATAGAAGGCTCGTCAGTAGCTGGACGAGTAGGCGTCAGTCGAGAAGCGGTGGTAGGGGTAGGTGGTGGGAAGCGAGGAATACGAGGATGAGAGGAATCAGGAGAGGAGGGGAAGACCTGAGAAAGCACTGCTCCTACAGCAAAGTGTGACGCATCGGCGGTAAGGATAAAAGGGCGATCGAAATCGGGTAGGTGAAGAACTGGTGCGCATGTTACTGCCTTTTTGAGGGCGTGGAAGGCGTCCTCATGGAGGGGTGTCCAAGCCCAGGGTGGGTTCTTCCGGAGGAGGGTGGAGGTTAGGACGTAGGAATACCTAGCGTATCCCCGGATGAAATTACTATAGTAGCTGGTCAGGCCTAGGAAGCTACGAAGCTACTTGGCGAATGTGGGGGCGGGTCACTCCGCAATAGCAGTGATCTTCGCGTTGTCCATGTGGAGACCCTGGTCAGACACGTAGTGTCTAAGAAATCCACTTTGTGCTGGGCAAAGCGGCACTTGCTCAGCTTGGCGTAGAAGCCATGTCTGCGCAAGTGGTCAAGGACGTCGCGGAGGTGTCTTAGGTGCTCCTCAAGGGTACGACTATAGACCAAGATATCGTCGAGGTAGACGAGAACGTACTGCTTCAGGATGTCCGTGAAGATGTTGTTCATCGCCCTCTGGAAGGTAACGGGTGCGATGGTGAGGCCGAATGGCATCACTGTGAACTCGTAGTAGCCGAATCGCGATCGGAACACGGTCTTCGGCTGGTCGGCTGCAGCGACGCGGATCTGATGGTAACCGCTACGAAGATGGATCTTCGTAAAGAAGCGGTTGCCTGCTAGGCGGTCGAACAACTCATCGGAACGAGGCATGGGGTAGCTGTTCTTAACCGTGTAGCGGTTGAGACCACGGTAGTCGATGCAGAAACGAAGAGTTTCATCCGCTTTGCGAGCAAAGAGGAAGGGTGCACCCCACGGGGAGTTGCTGGGTTTAATGAAACCCAGTCTCAGGAGCTCCTCAAGCTGACGCTTGAGTTCGGTGGCCTCGKGGATCGAGAGTCWGTAGGGTGCCTGGTGGTGAACAYGATAGTCAGGCACRAGCTGAATGGAGTGCTCGACGTCACGCATCGGTGGGATGCCGGCGTACGAGAACGACGATGGGAAAACGTCGTAGTACTCTCGGATGAGGTCACGAACTGCGGGCTCCAGGTCAGCCGTATATCGTGCGAGCTCCTCAGCGTCAGCGTCAGCGCGCGACGGCGGAGTGAACTCGACGGACGGCGGAGGAACGGAAGTAGAGATGGGAGGCATGGAGATAGAAGGAGGATCTGGCTCCAGATGGATGAGCTGGACGTCGGGACAGGGTGGATCATAGTGTAAGAGATCCATCACGTCCACCATAAAGAAGGTGACGTCGTCCTATTGGATGAAGTGGGAGAACTGCCGAGGCGAGCTGACAGTGATGAAAGGAGATGGTATGGGCACGGAAGGCTCCGGGGGAGGAGGATCGGGGCGTGGTGTCGCAGTGGTACCTATGAAAGGTATGCAATACGTCTGTCCACACTTCGTTTTGAGAACGAGAGTGTTGGTCGCCCAATCGGCCTCGGTGCTGCGGAACCGACGAGACCACGGAGTGCCGAGAATGAAGTCGTACCCCGTCTCCATCACATCGAAATGTGCAGAGGAGCGGTGGCGACGAGGCGCCGGGGAACGATCAGTCGGCTCGAGAGTGAGGAAGAAAGGGAGGTCGGTGACCGTCTGATCGAAGAAGCGCTGGGTCTTGTCATCCCTTAGGGTAACGGAAATGGGAGTTGGAGACCATGTCGTAGGTAAACGAGCTTCTTTCACCACGCGTGGGTGAATGAAGTCGCCCTGAGAACCGGAATCCCACAGCGCGGAGTACACCCTCGTGGAGGTCCCGAGTCGTACTGGGATGATCGGGAGGGTGCGATCAGGGTCAGAAAGGATGCCGAGAAGACGCCGCAGTGCAGCGACATGGACGGTGAGTCGCTCTTGACGAGCCTGGAGCATGCTCAAGTCCAGAAGAGAGGACACAACGTCCTCGCGAGTAGCGAGCTGGTCGCTACAACGGGCTGAGCGAATGGCTCGACGCGTCGGTAGTCGCGGCGGGGAAGGAGGGGAGACGGTGGTCTGCGGAGGCACAGACGGTACTGCGACAGAGGGCTGAGTACACTTGTCGAGTCCTGCGATACCTCAACCCCAGTAGCGAGAGGGGCGAACCACGATGTCGGGAAGCCCACAACTGAGGAGGGCACAGGTGTACACTACACCGTGGCTAGGAGGCGCCGCGGGGACATGAGGCGCCGCGGGGACATGAGGCGCCGGGGGGGGACTGAGCACGACGCTGACGAGAAAGGTCAACATAGTGGCAGTCGAGGGCGGTAGTGTAAGGGCACCGCGAGGAGGTATGACCGTCCAAGCGGCAACGCAAACACCCACGCCGGCCCAGAATGGCCGCGCGCTCCTCATGGGAAAGGACACCACGAGGAGGGACGAAGCCCTGAGGGAGGTCCTCCTGAGGGACCTCGGGGGTCGACGTGCCAGCGTGACCGAGGCGACTGCGTGACCGAGAGAGGGCGGAGAGCGCGAGCTGAAGGCGCTCAGCTGCACGGAGGGTAGAGTCCTCCAAGTGATAGTGGACGGCCTCACAGAGATCGAGGTCGTCGCAGTGGTCGCCCTCAGGTGACAGTGGGGCAACAACGTCCTGCTCACCATACTCCAGCGCGCTGAAGCGGCGCGAGAAGTGGCGGCCCTGCTGTGTGGAACGGCGGGGGCGACCGCGGAAAGGGGAACGACACTGGGAAGTGCCGTGAGAGGAGGAGGAGGCGTATCCCGTGCGCTGGGGCTGGGAGGAGGAGGCGGGGTGAAGACGGACTCGCATTCGTTGATGGTCCCTGGCGGCCTCGTAAGCCTGTGGGGCCGATGTGAACTCGTACCGCCAAAGCTCGGAGCGGTACTCGAGCGGGAGGCTGGCCAAGAAACGATCGATAAGGGCAGCCTCGGGAAGGAACGCCACGTCACAAAAGAGGCGGGCGTCCTGAAAGACCTGGATGTGGCGATCCAGGCCGGCAGCTCCAGCAGAGTCGGACCAGCGTGTAGTGATGACACACTTGAAGGCGTCAGTCACGTCATATCGGGTTCCGAAGCGATCCTCAAGGAACGCCTGGAAATCCATGAAGGTTGGAGTCCGACCCTCACGCAGGAAGTAAGCATAGAAATCCTCCCAGGCGTCGAAAGGAGCACCAGAGGTGACCCACCCATGTGTCGAGTGTGGCGCCTATTAGTTGGAGCGTGCGGGTGGCAGCCTGCAGCCACCTAGACACGCGTATGCCTGTACTGTCATACAAGGGAATGTCTGACAAGCGGATGAGTGGTGTGCCACCGTTTTGGCGGTGAGGGGAACGGGAAGCAGGGGACTGCGCTACGGCGGAATAAGTTGGCGCAGGTCCTGGAGGAGGAGGAGGCGCAGCTGACTGCACGCCTGGGCCACATGGTGGAGCGGCGGGGGAAGGAGCGGCAGGCTGCACGGGAGCTGCGGTAGAAGAGGTCGCGGCGACCGAGGGGATGGGGAGGAGGTAGGATGGAGATTGGTAGGGTGCAGGGCGAGGGAAGCGAGCCTGCATGGAAGGAAGAATAGAGGAAGAAGGGGGTGCACTGGAAGGCGCGGCCACCTGTGAGGGTGGGGGTGGTTGAAGGCGTGTTAGGGCGAGGTCGGTCCGGAGCCGGGCGATCTCGTCCTCGAGACTTCGAACGTAGGTCGAGCGAGGTGTGGCAGGGGGAGACGCACGAGCGGCGCGAGGCATCCCACAAGGGGGAGAGCCAGATGGCGCTGCGGTCGTGCGAAGAGGGGGGAGAAGTGGGGCACCCGAAAAAGCTGAGACCATGGTAGCGGGTTGTGGTCCCGGGGCCATCGTGACCGGAATCTGGGCGGGTGCGCCCATGGACTGAGGGAGGGCCAGACTCGTGGCGGTCTTCGTGCTAGGTGCGTGGACGGTCACCAAGATGCCCGGGTCGGGGGCAGCGGAGGAGGAAGCTCCATCGTGGCCACCCTGTCGGAAGGCGGGGGACCCGGACTGGGAGCCAGGAGAAGAGATAGGGTGAGAAGAGGAAGGACGACCAGCGTCCTGGAGTTGCCGCACGCCGGCGGCAAGGGTCGCCACCTGCGCCAGTAAGGGCGCGAGGGTCGCGAGTAGCGCCTGGATGGGCGCCAGGAAGGAGGTGAGGAGGGTGTGTAGATCCCCCTGGGGCTGATGGCCCTGGTCCGCCAGCAAGGGTGTGGAGCCCGATGCCGTGGTCATCGCCGTGTCGGCGGCGTGTGACACACCGTCAGCCATGGGGAGATGACGGACCGGACTGGAGGGGGCCAGAAGAGATCTGCATGAGCGGAGGGCGTAGGGGGAAGTCCGTGGTAGAAAGCGGTGGACGGCGCTAGCAAGGCTAGCGAGGGCGCCGTCAAAGGGGGAGGGGTGGTTCGGGTCCAGGGTGCCCGAAGAGGATGGGGAAGTAGGGGGGGGGGGTTGAAGAACCCTTAACCCTACAAAACTCTAAGAAAACCCTAAGCAAGGTTTAAGTGGTTAGGGTAGGGTACCGGTGACCTAATCAAGAAAGAAAAAGAGCAAGCATAGGGGAGGGAAAGCGGGAGAAAAATAAATAAACAGCGAGATTTCGAGAGAAAATAAAAATAAATAAGGAAATAAATAAATAATAAAAATAATTAAATAAATAAGTAAAAGGATAGAAAAGGAAAAAACAATATTTATTTTTTTGAAATTTTTGGCAGCATTTCCCTACCCCCCACGGGGTCAAGAATGCGCCAAGGGAAAAGGAGAGACCAAGGTGAGCACACTAGAGATGCCGCGAATAATAAAAAGAAATTTCAGAAAATAAATAATAATAAATAAATAAATAAATAAATAAATAAATAAATAAGTAAATAAGTGTGTGAGGAGGTGGAGAGAAATGGGTTATCTGATTTTTCGAAAATTTTGGCAGCATTTCGTTACCCCCATGGGGTCGAAGTGTGCCGGAAAAACTAAGTAAGAGAAAATCAGAAAATTTCGGCAGCACTTCGTTACCCCTACGGGGTCAAAACGTGTGCCGAAAGCAAGAAAGGCTAACATCTAATCAGATTGAGGGTTGCCGCCAAGAAATTCGAATTTTCAAAATAAATAAAAATACATAAAATAAATCAGAAAATAAGAAAAGAGGGTGGGAGAGACGAGATTTTGAATTTTTGGAAAAGAGAAAAGATAAATCAAAAGGGAGGTGGAAAGAAGAAAAAAAAAAAAAAAATTCAAAGTAGGGGGGAAAGGGAATGAAGAAGTGAAGGAGAAAAGAAAGAAATAGGTGGGGGGAGAGAAAAAGATGAAGTGGGAGGTAGGGGGATGGTGTGGTGGTAGTTGGGGGAGAGGAGGGATGGGGAAAGGTGGAGAGAGATCAAGAAGGAAGGAGAAAAGAAAGAAAGAAAAGAAGAGATGAAGAAAATAGAGTAAAAGAATGGGTGGTGGGAGAAAGGTGGGGTGGGGAAGATAAAAGGAGGAGAGAAAAGATGCAGTAGAAGGCGAGGGAAAGAGAAGGGGTGAATAAGAGGAGAGTGGGTTAGTAGAGGGAGAGGGGAGAAGGGAGTGATACCTGGCCCTTGGTGTTTCCAATGGCACAAGGTACACCAAGACCAGGAGGGTCTTGGTCTTTGCTGCAGCAGCCAGTTGGAGGAGAGAGGGGGGGCTGAGATCTTGATTAGCCCCCAGCAGCACTTCTGCAGATGTCCATATGTAGGGTCTGCTGTGTGAGCAGGCCCTCTCCACTGTAGAGCAGCCCCCTATGCAGGGGGGTCTTCAGTCCCAGCACAGGCTGCCACGTGGCCATGGAGATGGCCACGTGCACAGGCAGCAGCAGCCACGAGGGGGGGTAAATAGCAACTTCGCTGCTGCTCACTGCTCGCTGCCAGGGTGGGGGTAAATAGCCTGCACGGCACCTCTTCAACACGTGTGTGCCGTGCTGCAAAGCCATGGACACATTGTGGTGAGTGTGTTATGAGGCTACTTACACACGTGCATGGCTTGGCAGGTGCCTGGGTTCAAACCCCAGTGGTAGCAAAAAACTCCCGAATCTTGATAAGATAAATCTAGGGGCGAGGTGGGGCAGCGTGGTGCGCGTGTGCGTCCGGTGGCCTTGGCCTTGGCGCGCACGTGCTTGTCGTGGCGTCTCTCTTTTCCGCCATGTGGCACCTCCTGTACGCGCAGCTTTTCCCCTGCGTTTTCACGGAAAAACGCCCGAAAATAGTGAAAAAACCCGATGTCGGGTTTTGCTGTTTTCCTCAGCTGTGAGCGGGGAATGTGGTGGTGGGTGGGGAGCACGGAACGTTCCCGCTCTGATACCAATGTAGCGGACCCACCAGGTGTGGTGCTCCGCTAGTGACAGAGATGGAGATGGAGGAAGAAGGGGGGAGCGAGATGGCACAACGCAGCTCCCCACGCAAGACTCCAACGCACGTACTCCAAAATGTGCAAGTGAAGAATGAGACTGAAAACAGACAATGGCTGGGGTATACCCCAGCGGACGGACGGGA